AGTAATGTGAAAGTATGTTATGTTATTTCTGCTTATATATATATATATATATATATATATATATATATATATATATATATATATATATATATATATATATATTCATTAATTTTCTTTTTGGGTTTAGTCCCTTTATTAATCTGGGGTCGCCACAGTGGAATGAACCACCAACTTATCCAGCATATGTTTTACACAACGCATACCTTTTTAGCTGCAACCCATCACTGGGAAACAACCATACACACTCATTTACACACATACACTACGGACAATTTAGCTTACCCAATTATACTGCATGTCTTTATACTGTGGGGGAAACCGGAGCACCTGAACTAAACCCAAGCCAACACAGGGAGAACATGCTAACTCCACACAGACATCCCAACTGGCCCAGTGGGATGGGCCAGTGCCCTATTATTATTGTTGTTTTTTACTATTATTTTTTTGTATGTGTGCTTTTTTATTTGTTGAGTTTATATTATTTATCTGTGTTTATTAGATTTATGATAGCAACATTATTACTATAACCGCCGCTGTTGGGGAGTGGAGGGGAAAGGGGATGTTAAAAGGATGTAAAAATGTGTAAAGTTCCTTCAATAGGAAGTTTCTAGCATACATAGAAAGAGCTTGATTAGTTTGTTCAGGTGTGTTTAATTGGGGTTGGAACTAAAATATGCAAGACATACGGCCTCCAGGACAGAGTCTGGACACCCCTGGTGTAAACTGATGGTACTGTTAAATCACTAAAGAAAGAAAAAATGTAATTAAAAAAATAATAATAATTCAGCATTTTCTAGAGGAGTGAAAATGCTTTGTTTTTAGAAATAGTGAGTCAAAAGTATGTGAGATCTTCCCTAAAACAAGCTAAATAATAAGCAAAGTAAAATACAGTTTTCTCAGTGGCTTTGGTACATTTCTTACAACGCTATTTACATTTGCACATTAGTTAATGCATTTCTCAAAACAATTAATACAAACTGCAAAACCTAGTTGATAATCTGCAAAAGTGTGTCACTTGCTCATAATGGAGAGCTCATTCCTCAAAAGCAAGTATTGATGTCAATAAAAGTGTCAGTGTCATCAAGATGAAAAGTCCTGACACCATTGTTTATGAACAAGATAGTCACATGGCTTGTACTCAGATACCTCAATAAATGCAGTGATTTTAATTTTACTGTAGTTTTCAAATGGCTGTGCAAATAGTATATAGTGCTGTCTTGAGCATTTTCAGGAAGTGTCACCAAAATCTGACTTTTTTGCACTGAAAAAAATGGACAGAGTAACTGTCCTAATGAAAACATGACAAAGCCATTTGACTATCTTGTTCATAAGCAATGGAGTCGGGACTTTTCATCTTGATGACACTGACACTTTCATTGACATCAATACTTGCCTTTGAAAAATGAGCTCTCCATTTTGAGCAAGTGACACGCTTTTGTAGATTATCAACTAGGTTTTGCAGTTTGTGCTAATTGTTTTGAGAAATGCATTAACTTTAGAGCCTCGAAGCCAGAGATGTGAAAGCCCAGTCACCCATAGAGTGCAGACGAGTGGAGGGGACTGTTAAAAGACCAGAGTCAGAGGAGCGGTTGTCACGTGAACAGGAGTACCAAGTTAAATGTTCGAACAGATAGTGTGAAGCCAAACCATGCAGGGCTGTAAGCATGAGGTTTTAAAGTCAATACAAAATCTGACTGGCAGCTAATGGAGGGATTCCAAAACAGGAATAATGTGTTCTCTGATTTGAGTCCCTGTCAGAAATCTGGCCACTGAGTTTTAGACATATTGTAGTTTATTTTTTTGTAAACTTTATTTATTGAATATAAGTAAATAGCCTTTGTTGTATACAAATGTCCAATTTCTGCTTTTTGTTTTCTTTTAAACACTTTTGTAAACATTTAACCCCAAAACCTCCCACCCATACATACACATAGCCAGTCTTCTTGTAAAATACATAACAGGAGTGATAAAATATATATATATATTAATAAAAATAAATAAATAAAAATAAGTTAAAGTAAATTAAGTAAATAAACAGATAAATAAATAAATAAATAAATAAATAAATAAATAAATAAAGTAGATACATTAGTTAGTTACATCAGCAATAATGTGCTACCTACTATTTGGTTATTTTGGTTTTAGTTGTGCTGAGGTTGGACCAATGCGTCTAGTTTAGGGCATGACAGTACCGGAGTAAAAATGCTAAAGAAAAAATGCCTGATTCTGACTTTAAAATGATTTCTTAAATAATCACTTCAAGAGGTGTTAAATCATCAAAATAATTTAGTAGTGGCCTCCAATGAGTATAAAACTTGTGAGATGAGCCTCTGAGAGAGAACTTAATCTTCTTCAATTTCAGAAGACTTAACATGTTGGTAACCAGACTTTGATTGAGGGTGGTTGGTGTGATTTCCACATTAAAATAATTATTTTGCAAGCAACAAGGGAGATAAAGTCGATGACATTATTTTGAATGTCTGTGACATGAAAATCATTTGGGGGGTTTCCAAAAATAGGGATATGAGGGTTTAGGTTTAGATTAATGTCCAATATGAGTGAGATTTCCTTGAAAAATAACCGCCAGAATTCAGACAATTTGGGGCACGACCAGAACATGTAAGTGAGGTTGCATGGGGTCTGTGAACACCTATTACATTAGTTATATAATTTGTCAGAACAGAGCTTTGAGAGTTTCTCTTTGCTATAGTGTAGTCTGTGGAGGATCTTAAATTGTATGAGTGACAATCTAGCGCAACTAGATGAAGAATTTACAGCATTTAAGGCCTCTTCCCAGAAATCTTAAGAGAGATTTAATTGGAGATCTGATTCCCAGTTCATCTTAAACTTATTTAGGATAGATTCGTTATTTTGGGAGAGTAAATTATATATATACGAAATGCAACCTCTTGACAAGGTTTTGGCTTTAATGATCAAGTCTATCTCGCTAGGTGTTGGGATAGGTGAGAATGAAGTTGTGTGTGTTCTAGCAAAGTCGTGTAGTTGGAAGTATAAAAAAAAAGTCTCATCTGTTTAAACTAAATCTAGAATCAGCTGGTTGAAGCTTGCAAAAAAACCTTCAATATACAAGTCACCCAACTCTCGTATTCCCTTATTGTCTAAGTTGATCAAATTTAAGTCACTTTTAGCAGGTATAAACAGATGATTATTACGAATAGGGTTGATAATGGAAGGGTGAGCCAGCCAATTTGCTTCTGTATAGCAACATTCTATTTGTTCGTGGTTGTTTACCAGCCCAGATAAACGATGAATTGGTGTCATTTATTGATCTAAAAAAGGATTTAGAAAGAATTATGGGCAGGCACTGAAATACACACAAATACCTTGGTAACAGTCATTTACATATTGTAGTTTATTGATGTTACTTTTGGAAACAACAGCTAGTAAGGCACTGCAATAGTCTAAGCGGGAAAAGATGAAAGTATTGATCAGATCTGCCACAGAAAAGGACAGCATGGGATGGATTTGTGAAATGTTTTTGAGATAAAAAAAATAAGTCTTTACAGTGGACAGCACATGGAGATCAAATGTTAGGTTTGTGTCAAATATTACCCCTAAGATCTTTAGTTTGGCCTGGACCTCCACTGCCGAGCCATCTAGGTTAATGTTAAGAGGTTTAGTTTTAGTTAGTTGGTTGGAAGAACCAATCAACATAAGCTGTTTTCCCTGTGTTGCAAACACAGACAGACAGACAGACAGACAGACAGATAGATGGATGGATGGATGGATGGATGGATGGATGGATGGATGGATGGATGGATGGATGGATGGATGGATGGATGGATGGATGGATGGATGGATGGATGGATGGATGGATGGATGGATGGATGGATGGATGGATGGATGGATGGATGGATGGATAGATAGATAGATAGATAGATAGATAGAGCAATGTAATACATAAAAACAGGGTGACATGGTGGCTCAGTGGTTAGCACTGTCGCCTCACAGCAAGAAGATCACTGGTTCGAGTCCCGGCTGGTTCAGTTGGTATTTCTGTGTGAAGTCTTGCATGTGTTCGCGTGGGTTTTCTCCTGGTGATCGGGTTTCCCCCACAGTCCAAACACATGCGCTAATTGAATTAACTATTTGAATAAACAATGTGTGTGTGAATAAGTGTGTATGGTTGTTTCCCGGTACTGGGGTGCAGCTGGAAGGGCAGCTGCTGTGTAAAACATATGCTGGATAAGTTGGCAGTACATTCCACTGTGGCACTGTGGGAATAAGCCAAAGGAAAATGAATATAGGAAAACATTGACTAAGATCTGATATTGCCCATTGCACTAAACTGTAAAGCTCTTATGGTGCATGCATTATTACAGTATGACTAATGCTAAAGTTTTATTACAGTACATATGACTAATGCATTTGCCCTATTTACCTTTGATACCATGTTAGAAAGCAGGCCACATCACATAACAAAAGAGAAAGTGTCTGCGATTTGGGATTTATGGTAATGCACAGAGGAATTTGGACACTAGAGTGGAAAAGCCCATACAAGGAGAGCCGAAAGAGCTCTGGATCTGTTTTGAGAGTTACTCAAAACAGCCTCCATAATGTAAACACACACAGACACACAGTGGCTTCTGGAGATGTTAAACCAAACCGTAGCGCATTCAATTCAGCAAAGCCTGTCCGCAATGATGAAGAATGCTTATTTAATGTGAAACAGAGCCGATGATATCAGATCTGCGCTATTTATTGCACATCCAAGCATTATATTTGATGAAATATGAACTAGTCTTATGTCAGAGATGTTTTAGTATGTCCAGCCCTCTTTCTCTCTTCATCACTTTCTCTCTCTGCTGTCCTTCATCTCTTTCAAAAGTCACTTCTCCTCTGCAAAGCATGTAGGCGATGAAGGTCATCACAGTAAAATGAATGTGAATTTCGATTAAGAGGAAGAGTAGAGAGGCGGTTTGGTGACGTTAACTGTTGCCTTACAGATTTTCACAGCGGCATTCAGCAGGTAATTGGGATTTTGGCTTAGATCTCTCTTCAAAATATAACTAATTGTTGATCTATTTTGAATTATGAATAATCCTTATTTGTATGTATGAGATGAACTGAATTGCACTAGTTATCTGTGTGTCAAAAGTGTTTTAGAGGGGGGAAATGAGGATCTTTTCATTCCAGAGAAAAATCAGGGAGTGTGTTCAGTGATGTTTTCCCATCAGAGCTTGCGAGATGGAACAGAAAATCTGTCAAATCTCATTGCTAGTCATTGAAATCTGCAAAAGGAATCAGTATTTTGCTATTTGCATGCGTTCAGATGGATATTCTTGAAAGCTTGTTGCTGTTGAGGGCATGCAAAATGTCTTGCGTCAGGCTGAAAAACTGAATGTGCTGATTTGCATGCACATGTTAGCGTTTTGTGTGTCTATGTGTGTGTGTTTGTGTATAATATGCAGCTCACGCTAACCCAGCGATACGATGCCTCTGTTGAGAGATCTTCGGAAAAAAGATGACATCAATGCCGTTTATGAGCTGAAAGAGAAACTGGGAGAGTGAGTTTTTCTTCCTTATGGATTCACATGCTCAACATCCTGAATACTCTGAATATGTAATGACTTACAAGCAGATTTTGATCTTGTGGTTTACCAACATATTTGAAAGTCTTGTCAAACAGAAACAGAAAATATTATTAAAGGGGTAGTTCACCATTTATTCACTCTCAATTGGTTTTGAGCCTTCGAGTTTCCTTTTTCTGTTAAACACAAAAAAAGATATTTAGAAAATTGCTAGAAAATCTGCAACTGAAGACAGAATCTGAGAATCTGCGGATTTATACAGAATGATTTTGAGAGGATAGTAACTAAAAACTTAACTCAACTTTTGGAAGCTGTTTGGACAGAACTGTGTGTAGGTATAGTGTGTAGTGTCAAATTGGGGTGATGTGAAGACAACAGTCCCTTTCACACAGTTACCCCTTTCATACATACAGACCTTTCCGGAAAATTACTGTCAATTTTCAGGAAAGGGATCATGTGTGAACAGGCCCTTTTTAAAAATACTGGTAAATTCGTTCTGGCAATTTTCTGGAAGTTGTAACATTACCGGTAATTTGCTGGAATGCTGCTCCGTGTGAACGCAGAAGGAAAATTGCAGGAAAGAGTGCGTTAATGCTTACAACGCACTGACGTGAGACGTCTTCTCCAGCCAATCAAAAGATTCAGACGAATTCACATCCAAGCTGTTTATGAAAACAAAAGCCTTTGGATATTTTTCCAGACACTTTTCGTCACCTTGGAATTATAAAGCTATATCTGTGTTCTGAAGATTTTGAGATATTGAGCTTTATAGTTTTTGCATCTCATAGCAAGTCTTTTTAAGTCTTAAAATGCAAACAACTTATAAAAAACATCCCATAATGTAAATAAGTTGTCATTTAATAAGAATATGTGAATATCTCAATTTTGACAAAAATGTCAGATAGAACCTTATAATTCTAAGGTGACGGTTTAGCTGCTAGATGTTAGTCAGACGTTTCTATGTTTCTTCCAGTGTTGGGGAGTAACTAGTTACATGTAACAGCATTACGTAATTTAATTACAAGATTAAATTAACAATAATTCAATACAGTTACTGAGAAAAAAAAATGTGTAATTAAATTACAGTTACTTATGAAAATGTTAAAGATTACAAATGGGGTTACATCTAAAACCTTTCTTTAAAATCTGGGATATCTTGAATAATATTAACTGTAGCTTTGCCTGTTTTTGATATGCACTATGCCTTCTGCGAAGGCCACTTATTAAAGCGGTACTATTCGGCTATAACTACATTTCACAGTAGCGTCGCAGTAGCGTCACTATTTTCTTTTTTTGTTTTTTTTTTGTTAACAACTGTTTATTGAGTTTTTCAGGAAACAATATTAAAAAAAAACAAGTGTAAATTTAAAACCCACTCCCACCCATCCCACCCCTGGTAGACTTCAAAAGTATAAGATAATAATAATAATAATAATAATAATAATAATAAATAAATCAATCAAATACAAAGGAATTTTACAAAGACTTCAAAAAGGATGACATAACATCAAAGGCTGAACGCCATATACTGACAGTTTTCATATTAGCACCATGTATACGGGAAGTTGAGAGTTCCATCGAGAGAATGTCCAACAAATAAACAGTCCAGGTTCGTCTGTCCATGGTATGAGGAGGATTCCAGCGGTTGACCAGCAATTTTTTTGCTGCTGTGAGAGCAGTTAACAGAAGACATCTTTGTTGAAAAGTGAGATCCCAAAAGTCATTCATGAAAAAATGACATGGAGTCAAACATATCTCAGTTCCCAACAAGTATGATAAATCCTGTAAGAGCTGAGTCCAGAAATGAGAGAGAGAGGGACATTCCCCAAAAAAAAGTTAAAAAGTGCCTAAAAATCCTTGTAAACAGAGATTACAATTAGAAGAAGATGAGAAATTCATGCGTCACTACTTTCTAAATCAAATTGTATGTGTGCTGGCGCGCACTGGCTGCTTCTTATGCAAACACGTCAAGCAACTGAAGCGGAGCTTGAAGGTAAACAAACAAAACGTTTTCACCAAAGTAAAGAAACCGTTTCTACATTTTTTGTGTAAGCAAGTTTTTTTACATTACTTTAAAAATACTCATAAATGTCTGATGATACGAGCCGACTTGTATCTGTTCGATTATCATTATTTCTTTTGGGTTGTGCAGTTTAATTGACAAATTTTCTACAAAGTATGTTGTATATAGTAAACTCGCTGTTTTTTGTCACATTCATAACGCATGTTTATTTCCTCGTTTAAAAAATATAAAATGTTTAAATGTTGATATTTTTTTGATCCCATAACTCTGTGGTCAATTGTTTTGGAAAATATAAACAGATGTGTCAATATAATGTTAACGGATACTTTCTATGTGAATTTATATTTTGAGTTTTTACTAAAAATGTCACATCCATGGAGTTTGCATGTTCTCCCTGCATTCGCTTGGGGTTTCCTCTGGGTGCTCCAGTTTCCCCCACAGTCCAAAGATATGCAGTATAGGTAAATTGGGTGGGCTAAATTGTTCGTAGTGTATGAGTGTGTATGGATGTTTCCCAGAGATGGGTTGTGGCTGGAAGGGCATGCTCTGTGTAAAAAAACGTGCTGGATAAGTTGCCGGTTTATTCCGCTGTGGTGACCCCGGATTGATAAAGGAACTAAGCCGAAAAGAAAATGAATGAATGAATGAATGAATGTCACATCCATAACGCTGGAATTGCTCATCTGCAGATTTTATGGTGCACAGATTCAATGTTTTCCTACCAATGATATATATAGCAGGAAAAGCAAATACTATGGAAGTCAATGGTTACAGGATTCCAACAATTTTCAAAATGTCTTCTTTTGTGTTTAACATAAGGGACTCCATCAAATGTGAAACAAATAAAGGGTGAGTAAATGAGTTCATTTTTGGGCGAACTGTCCCTTTAAGAAGGCTCTGGAGACTCCTATTTTTCACAGTGCGCCCACAGCACTTGTCATTAAGGATTAATTGTGAACGAAACTCATTAGGGGCTGAATTATAAATAATATAAAGGTGTAACGTCTCAGGGGCTCGTTCTCTGAGGTTCGAGTGGCTCAGCACAGATGCACCCAGAAGCTGGTGGCTGTCAAGTGCATCCGGAAGAGAGCGCTAAAGGGAAAAGAATCCATGCTGGAGAATGAGGTTGCGGTATTACGCAGGTCAGTTATTTGGCAAACAGCGTTCTTGACTGATTGGTTAAATTTCTTGACTTTACAAAGCGCTTTTGTGTGCATTTTCTAGGTTGTTATTAGCGTAGAGCTGCATTTTACATACATTTTTTTGATTTGATGGTACGAAGGGAATGATTTTTTTATATGTGTCCCCTGTGATTTCTTCACAGAATAAATCACGAAAATATTGTGTCCCTGGAGGAAACCTTTGAGACTCCTACTAAACTGTATTTGGTAATGACACTGTGAGTGGAGCAGAGTGTGGAAATGAATATAGTGCAGTTCAAAATCCATAATGCTATAAATAGTTGATAGATAGATAGATAGATAGATAGATAGATAGATAGATAGATAGATAGATAGATAGATAGATAGATAGATAGATAGATAGATATAGATGACACTGACAGAATCAAAATACACTGACAGATAGATACAGAAGACACTGACAGACAGACAGACAGACAGACAGACAGACAGACAGACAGACAGACAAAAGTCACTGACAGACAGATAGACTGACAGACACAAGACAGAAGACAATGACAGACAGACAGACAGACAGACAGACAGACAGAAGACACTGACAGACAGACATACAGACAGACAGGCAGGCAGAATATTCTAACAGACAAAAGTCACTGACAGACAGATAGACTGACAGACACAAGACAGAAGACAATGACAGACAGACAGAAGACACTGACAGACAGACAGACAGACAGACAGAAGACACTGACAGACAGACTGACTGACAGACAGACAGACAGACAGACAGACAGAAGACACTGACAGACAGACAGACAGACAGAAGACACTGACAGACAGACTGACTGACAGACAGACAGACAGACAGACAGACAGAAGACACTGACAGACAGACAGACAGACAGACAGACAGACAGAAGACACTGACAGACAGACAGAAGACACTGACAGACAGACTGACTGACAGACAGACAGACAGACAGACAGACAGGCAGACAGATAGACAAAGGTCACTGACAGGCAGATAAATAGACAGACAGGCAGGCAGGCAAAATAAATTGACAGACAGACAGGCAGGCAGGCAAAATAAATTGACAGACAGACAGAGAAAGACAGACATACAGACAGACAGACAGACAGACAGACAGGTAGATAGAAAGACAGACACACATACAGACAGAAGATACTGACAGACAAACTGAAGACAGACAGACAGACAGATAGAGAACACTGACGGACAGACAGATGACACTGACAAATAGACAGAGAGATGACACAGACAAACAGACGATACTGAAAGACAGACAGACAGATATATAGATAGATAGATAGATAGATAGATAGATAGATAGATAGATAGATAGATAGATAGATAGATGACACACAGATATAGATACACAGATATAGATACAGACAGACACACTGACAGACAGACAGAAGACACTGACAGACAGACAGACAGACAGACAGACAGACAGACAGAAGACACGAACAGACAGACTGACAGACAGACAGACAGAAGACACTGACAGACAGACAGAAGACACTGACAGACAGACAGAAGACACTGACAGACAGACAGAAGACACTGACAGACAGACAGAAGACACTGACAGACAGACAGACAGACAGACAGACAGACAGACGGACAGACAGACAGAAGACACTGACAGACAGACAGACAGACAGACAGACGGACAGACAGACAGACAGACAGGTAGATAGAAAAACAGACAGACATACAGACAGAAGATACTGACAGACAAACTGAAGACAGACAGACAGACAGATAGAGGACACTGACGGACAGACAGATGACACTGACAAATAGACAGAGAGATGACACAGAATAACAGACGACACTGACAGACAGACAGACAGCTGATTTGAGTTTATTGCGCAGGCTGACAGGAGGTGAGCTGCTGAACAGGATTCTGGAGAGAGGCAGTTACACAGAGAAAGATGCCAGTCGGGTCATTTACCAGGTGCTGCAAGCCGTGAAGTATCTGCATCAGCTGGGCGTCGTGCATCGCGATCTAAAGGTAGCCGAGAACAAAACATAACACTTCCGTCTCGAGATTTTTAGTTTCAGAGCAACACTCATGCTGAGCATCTCTCCATTAGCCTGAGAATTTAATATTTGAGACTCCATTAGAAGACTCCAAAATTGTCATCAGTGACTTTGGCCTGTCTAAAATGGAAGAGCAGGGGGCTCTGTCCACCGCATGTGGGACTCCAGCATATGTCGGTAAGAGAAACCGTTTATGATCATGTTTATAAACAAATATTTTGCACAGTTACATACAGAATCAAGATTATTTAGTTCAACACAAAATAAACTCTAATGCTTAAAAAAACAAACAAAATGCACAGATCTGAAGCTGGTATAATGTGACAAGCATATCTGTTTAATCTTCTATGGGTTAATACCATATATAACAATTAAAGGTTAAGATCAAACAAAAATATACATTTGCTGTTCATTTTTTTACCCTCAGGCCATCAAGGCCATAATTTTTTTTTCTCTTCAGTAGATTTTTTTTTTCAAACTTAAGTTTATAAAATTGAAGTCAATGGCTAACAGCACTGTAAGATTATAAAATAAACAAGAAACAATATAGAAAACTTATACATGCAAAAAAATAAAAAATAAATAAATGAATACATGTTTCCCCTGATGAACTGTCGCAAAAATCCCTTTTATTTAAAAGAATCAGATTTCCGCATTTGCTGAGGCTACAGTATGTATTAATCTCCAGCCTCTTGCCCAGACTATTGACAGTATTGTGCTTTAAAAAACTTGTCTTTTTTTGCTATTTTTTGAAAATGTTATTTAATATTTTTCCCTAACATATAAATTTGGGCTAAAAATTTTAAACTATTATTGTAAGTTTTTTTGGTTAGATAAGCTCCAGATTTGGCTTCAGTACTGATTTAACTAACGTATATGCGCAAATACAATATTAAAAATCTTTATTGTCCACATGAGTGGAAATTCGTTTTTTGGCCTCCCAAACATGACAAATACAAAACACACAGCTTCCTACATCACAGATTACCAACACACAACCCTGGCTACGAAATTACAGAATAACATAGAAACTACTTCATGGTCGTTTATTTAATATGGTAACAGCAGACGGTATAAAAGATTTCTTAAAAGTATTTGTTTTTGCTGGGAGTATTCTGTATCGTCTACCAGAAGGAAGCTTTTTAAATTCATAATAAAGAGGATGGGTGGAGTCCTGAACTATCTGTAGTTTATACTATGGTCTAGTTTATACCAAGCGGCAACCTCCCGCTCTCTCTCAGGAAGCCAATACGGAAGTAACTAAAACTGCAATTAATCCGAAATTCCGCTAGTCCTGGCCGCTCCTGGCTCCAAAACAGAGCAAATTTCAATTGAGCCCACTGTTATAATGGCTAACTTTACAGCAGAAAAAAAGGTGTTTACAGCCTGGTACAAAAAAAGATTTTATCTGCAGACTATTATATTGTTAAATTACTATATTGTTGTTGTTGTTTTATCCAGTTGGATGTTGTATTTTGACACTCCTGTTATTCAGCAATGTTTAAACTTTATCAAAATTGTACTTTTTAGAAAAGATTGCAAAGATGTTTTGTTAATTTGATTTTGAGCCTTTAATTGTCATTTATAAGGGATTTATAAAGCATGAATAGTCCTCACTTTAGATTAGGTCACAAAACTGCATAAAGTTGAGTTAATAAAGCATTTATTAACATATTAGTTAACTATTAATATATGCCTGATTAGTAAGATATATAAATGTTGATTTCAATAGTTTATTAATCATTTACTAACTCATTCTGAATCATCCTAAAACCCTCAACTACAAATGGTTTGTAAATAATGCGATACTTAATTTAGTAATGAAAAATAAATCATTAAGTATGAAAATACAATTATTCAACACATTATACTGGTGCTTATAAGTCAAGAATAAAGGATTTAAAGCTGCAGTTATAAACTGCTTACTAACGCTTATTAATGTAGAGTTAATGCTTAACAGATAATGAATTCACTATTTGCTAATGCTTAATAAATGATATATAGTGTGTAGTTATTAAAAAGTGTTACCATATATTCTTACGTACAATAAAAACCTGAGCTTATATAAGTAAATAAATAGCTAAAAAAGATATAGGTAAAGTAAACTTAATATATAAATATACATTGTAGCCAATTTAGCAGAATATGGAAAGGGTTATGGTGGTCTTTAATGTTTGACTAAATAATCTTTAGTTTTTCACATACTGTAAGTTCTGATGTTTAGTGTGTTTGTAGCTCCTGAACTTCTACAGCAGAAGACATACGGTAAAGAGGTGGATCTCTGGGCCATTGGAGTGATTACGTTCATTCTGTGAGTAAACGGATTATTATTATTGTTCCCTCTGTATGAATTAACTCTGATACATAATCATTTCAGAGTCTGAATCAGCAGTTTTTGATGTTCTGGCAGACTCTGCGGGTATCCTCCTTTCTACGATGACAATGACACACAACTTTACAAGCTCATCATAAAGGCTGAATATGAATTCGACTCTCCATACTGGAATGACATCTCTGACTCCGGTATGAAAAAAACAACAACATCTAATATCTCCTCATTTCTACTGTTACAGTCATTTTTAATACAAAACTGTAGTGAAATTTGAAACTGAGGCAGACAGGTTATGTATGTACAAAATGTGGCCTCAAAAATATTGAAACACAGAAAAGACTGATGTAAAATCAAGTGTCTAAACATTCTTACTTTTTATTTACTAAGTTCATTCATTCATTTATTTAATTTTCGGCTTAGTCCCTTTATTAATCTGGGTTCACCACAGAGGAATCAACCACCAAATTATCCAGCATATGTTTTACGCAGCAGATGACCTTCCAGCTGCAACCTATCACTGGGAAACATCCATACACACTCATTCACACTCATTCCAAAAGACATGTGATATAGGTGAATCGGGTAAGCTAAATTGTCTATAGCAGGGGTCACCAATCTTATTCCTGGAGCTCCGTGCAAGTTACAGGGGGGTGGTGGTGGTGGGGGGGTGTTTGTGGTGGTGGGAGGCCTGCTCTTTCATTAGTGAGAAATAGTTTACACTGATTCATTCACTTGGCTTCGCTCCTTTATTCATCAGGCTTAGTTCCTTATCCAGCATATGTTTTTACACTACGGATGCCCTTCCAGCTGCAACCCAGTACTGGGAAACATCCATACACACTCATTGCAGGGTATATAGAGAACTTAAGTTGGATTTAATACATTGTACTACCTTTTTAATACCTTAAAAAAAATAATACCAGCACGACTTAGAGCTGCAACTGTAGTGGCGTAAATGAAATGTCTTTCCAAATGGAATAACATATTGCAGATAACATATACATTTAAGTAATGCAGAGGGATTAATCAAGATGTCACAATGTGCCTTTGAATACTTGCATTTCCCCATGTTTTAATATAATTAATGAACGAAAGTGAGCTCGCCTATATGGTGGTACCTAGTTTGTTTCAGCACACGCGAACGAACGCCACCATATTGCTCAGATCCTACTCTTAAAATATTAGGGGTGTCACGATTTCGATTTTTAATCGAAATAGATAGAAATTTATGCTTAACTTTGATTATTGTATTAAAAAATAGAATCGTCGATGCTGCCACGCCCCCATGTCACGTCAGCTTGGCTTGCCAAGCGAGAAAAAAACAGGCTTGTTGAAGTGCTTGTTAAACTGCAGAAGCAGGAGACCCGTCGACAGAGCTTAAACCCTCTCCTTTTTCAATGAAGTCGCCGGTGTGTAAGCATTTTGGATTTCCAGTGAGTTATGTTGACAACGTTCGTGTTTTGCAAGCTCTGCTATGTAACGTTATTAGGGTTCGTCCGATAGACAACACCGGCATCGCGATCCTCCGCCCGCCCCCGTTGCAAATCCGCTCGCGAAAAGTACACACTCAGGCCCTGTTTACACTGTCTTTGTTTTTAAATGGCATTTTAGAACGATAACGATTTGACATCCACAGTGGCGTGTAGCATTTCTGAGCAGCGCCTCCTTCCTCTCTACCTCTGACACATACAGACACAGACGCACACACACAGCCATGGGCTCGAGACAGCGGGTTCAGGCAGTCAGAGGATCAGTAGACTGCTTTAATCTTTCACTCACTTGTACTTAGTCATTTTAGCGAACACCTCAGATACTGTTGGCTGGTTCCTGTTGGTTGTGCGTCTTTTTTACCGACGCCATTATAACGACGCAGATCACTGCCTATTCACGAATCCCGCAGAAAAAGTGATTGACAGGTGGTAATTATGTGTGTATCTTGCCTTTATTCATTTACTGTATGATTTGTTTATGGGTAAAACAAAGACCATGCAGCTCAGGTAGTTTAAACGGTAGGCTACAAATAATTAATTGGTCATTAATTAATTATTTAATTCATTATTCATAATCGAAAATCGAATCGTGCCTTTAGAATCGAAAATGTAATCGAATCGAGGATTTGGAGGATCGTGACACCCTTATAACATATAATTAAATCCACGCCAATTTTTTAGAATAAAGGCCTGCACTTAACACAAATTGAAAATTTATTTAAAAATATTGGGCTCGAAAATGTAATTCCTTGTCAGATGACGTTTATTACTTTTTAGTGCCCTTAATTTCGACTAATTTCATTTACTACAGTACCTTTTACAAGCCTGCGAACACCCTGCTGATAAATAAAGAGACTAAGCCGAAGGAAAATTGATGAATTAAAATAAGATAACATAATTATACATATAAACCTTTATAACGATTCATTCAATTGTTAATGTGGGAAAATATTTAACAAGAGACTAAATATTTTATTAAAGTAAAATTAGACGTACAATTTTTCACTGGATTAGACACTTATGCTAGCATATGGAAGTTAAACATTCAAATAACAAGTGTGAATTTGGTCTGAATTATGAGTTCGGTTCACTGAAGCATGAATCGAGCCTTTTCACAAGACTGTTATGAAGCGTTTAATGATCATCATAATCTTAAATCCTTGAAAGTTTTTAATATTTTTTTTATAATAATAAAACATTTTGCATTTATGAATGTATTATTTCATCTTTGCGTCAAATTACAAAAAAAAACAAATTTTTGCTTATACGGGGTGTTTCTAATGCAGTCTATGGGGTTGAGAGTAAGTTTGATGTTATTCTCTCCTCTGGCTGCAGTCTGACACATTTATTTTGTTTTCTGAAAGTCTTGATAACACCATCAAGGAGTTTTTCTTTTATTATTTCAGCAAATAGGATTATAAAAATGTTTTGTGTTGTACTCTGCCATTCAATGTGCTTCCAAGTTTAGCCAACCATGACATTTTCAACTGAGAAACCTAGAAATGGGAAAATGGTCCATACTGTTTGCATTACACAAACTAACATTGCCAATTTACACTATAAATTGCCTACCACATCAGTTACAAACAATGTTGTTGCTTTCTGCAACTTCTTAGCAAACGATTTCATGAGCTGTAATAGAATTGCAGCATTGATGCTTTCACGAATGCTTTCGAAAATGTCTCGCTTTGTATTAATGCTTCATGTTTTATAACGCAGCCCTAAACACGCCACATTAAGTGGTATTGATCTCCTTGTGTTCTCTGCTTCTCCCTGCCCACTAATGTTCAGCGAAAGACTTCATAGTTCACTTACTGCAGAAGGATCCAGCGAAGAGGTTCAATTGTGAGCAGGCCTCGCAGCATCCTTGGTGAGTCCATAAATAGCAGGAAAGAGGCGTATGGGAGCTGAAGGTTCATCGGCGTTGAAAAGCAAAGGGCCAACCTTGAAGCATAGATGAAGAGTTGGGTCACATCTGTGCAGTGGTGTAGGAGGCTGAGAGCAGACTGGAGGAGGATGATCAAATGTACAATAAACACAAGCCTCTTCACCTAAATGTGACATTGTATGAGATATTTACTAAACACTGAACAGTTATAATCTACATTGTGCAAACTTAATGGAATAGAGAGAAATGCATATAATTGAGACTGGATTTTTTTAGGGTACAGTACTTACTTATGTTCCCATTATTCGCTCAAAAGAGCTTCCAATTATGATTCATTTCCTGGCCATCATCTTAATCTGATGCTTCTCCAGGGGAATGTTCAACCTACTTTAAGTAGCAACCCAGGCTCATTGTGGATACGTACCCCTGTCTACATTTTTGGACAGTGCAAATTAGCCAGAGGTATGTCTAGGATGACAGGGTTCAAGTCTGGCGAAGAAAAGTTCCAGAAACCAGGTAAAACAAAAAATAAATAAACTGCAGGCTGAAAACATAGTAAAATCACATGGCTGCGACGGCTTTTCTTTTTTTAGATTGCTTTTGAAAATGCTATCGGTTATGTCTAAGGAAGGGGGTGGGTGGCCAGTTGGTCTGTCATGTTTACCAGTGAACAAACCACCAGATGTCGCTGGTAAACACTCACTCATGAAACTACAAGTCTGCCAGTAAATGGACTACATATTCAGTCATGCCACACACACACACACACCTGCTCCAAGTCTCCACTGATTAGACTCCCACAGCTGATCCTGCTTCAAGACTGATTACACACAGTATTTAAGCAGCACACACACTCATTCACATTGCCGAGTCTTCTGTTACGCCGGGGAGTGACACCAACAACACGCACTAAAGTGCGAACTCACATCAACAGCATTCAATATAGATTGTGGGGCTGGCGGCTGACAGACACAGAGTGATTTACCAGGCATAGGTCAGTGGCAGGCGGCGTGGTTCAGAGTCCTTATAACAAGCGTGGGTCGTGGGCAGGCAGCGTGATTCAGAGTCCGTATAACAAGCGTGGGTCGAGGGCAGGCAGAAGGCAACTCAGAGTCAGAAACAGTCCGGGGTAATGCACAGAAGATCAGGCAGGGAATAACGCTCAGAAATGTTGGCCGTGGCTGAACAAGACTTCGCAATGAACTGGTGTTTGAGAGTGGCTTATAAAGGGAGCGTGGGTCGTTAACTGGATTCAGTTCAGGTGTGCACAACCAGTCTAAGTGGATGATGTAATGCTTAGAAGACCAGGGATGGCGGCCTCTGCTGGCCAGCGAGGGGAATGACTGGGACCGAGTCGGTGACATGGTCAATGAGTCAGTCGACAGCAAGCTGACCTGGTCGGCTGAAATGTATACGCTGTAAACCCTAATAAGTTGAGACTACTCAAATGATTTGAGGAAAGTGATTCCCTCAGTTCGTTTAAGTAATAGCAAATCGACAACTCAATTAATTGAGTTGACCAAATGTGGTCTCTTTATCGAATTAACTTTTTAGTTAAATTAATTAACTAAAATGTTTAATTACAGATAACTTCAAATGGCTAATAGACTAAACTTCTAAACTTTTTAGCTTTTATATTTTTTACTTACTCCCAGGGCCATTTATATCAAAGTTGACCTTTAGCTGCTTCATGTTGACACTGTGTGTCATATAACATATATCAACCGATCAGCGCGGTTGTCAAGGCAGAATTTCAAGCACAACCAATCATTTTAAACAGAAACATGGTGAATCAATTAAAGAAATTAAAATGTTCAGAAAATTAAAAAATGTTAATTAAAAGTTTTTTTTTTTTTTTTTTTGCTGTCTAATAAGTTAAACACCTGGTTAAGTTTTGATGCCAAAACTTGGCATTTTAAGAAATGTCAAGTTATATTACCTTAATATATTTAGTAATGACAACAGGGGGGTTTAAAGTGTATTGCGCCCTGGTGGATTTACACGAGAAGAGGATGCGCAAGAGGATCATCAAATAGCGGCCTTTGGTGGATTTGCCAAAACAATAACTGCAAGCAGACGTACCTCAAGTCACATATTCCGCTGGGTCCAGAAAAGTAGACAGGGGTACATATCCACAAACAGCCTGGATTGTAAATTTGTTTACTTAATTGATTTGTGTTGGGAAAACATAAATTAATTGTGTGGAACCCTGCAATTTATTTTAGGGTACTTTCACACCTGTGAACTTATTCAGTTGTTCCGAAACAGGGATTAAAATTGTTGCATTGTTGCTCTTGGTGCGTTTCGCTTTCAAACGGCAAAGTTTCTAAACGGACCAAAAGAACTAAAAAAGTCACGTGTGAGTAAACTCTCCTCACATTGTGTCAGGGTTTATTTTGCAGAGTCCCGCTCAGCTGTCAGCGGGGTGGAGGGGGGTTAATAATATTGGGGGCTAATAATATTGACCTTTAAATGGTTTAAATTTTAAACTGCTTTTATTCTAGCCAAAATAAAACAAATAAGACTTTCTCCAAAAGAAAAAATATTATAGCAAAAGTATAATAGTGAAAATATTTGAAAAAGAAAAGTTCACAGAAGGGCTAATAATTTTTGGCTTCGACTGTCATAATCATAGGCTTTACTTTTGTCTTTGCTGTCACACGATTTGAACCATTCTTGATAAATATTCAACTCTAAAAAAAAGTCTCATTATCAAACATCAGTGTGGATGTTTTGAATGAACATTACTATACTGTCATGGCAGGATATCAGGAGGTGCGGCTCTGGACAGGAACATTCATGGCTCGGTTTCAGCACAGATTCAGAAGAACTTTGCCAAGAGTCACTGGAAGGTAAGAGTGATGAAAACAAACCTGAGCCAAATGTAACCTGCCAACATTCACACATTCTCCACAGTCTCCGCTCAGACCACCTGATGCACAGAGTACACAAAAATAGCTGAAACCGCCAGATCTCATCAGATAGCTTGAGATCAAATCTGAGGCCTTTAAACAACACTGGCTCATTGGAAATAGGAGCTTCAGCTTATGTTTTTGTAAAACCGCAAAAACGTACTTTAAACTACACATGAAATCAAAACTAGCCATATTGATTTTGTTAGCTCATATTGCTAGTTTTGTGGTGAACGATTCATCTGAGCATGCCATTTAGTAAAAAAGACTGTTCGACCTTGTAATCTATAATTGAAATCTGAAAATGCTCTTCCTGTTTGTTTTTAGTTAAATTCCCAGGATTACATCTGTCTGAGGTATCAAAACTGACAATTGGAGGGACCCCTCCAATTGTCTGTTTTGACAACAAACAAAAATTGTGAGGAGGAGGGGTCTGTTAGGTTGTAATAACTCCCCAAACCCTTGTCCAGATCTTTCTGAATGAAATGCCTACTTTACTACATCCAATCAGCTTGCAGTAGAAAAATACAAGCCACGCCCCTGTTTTCTCATTGGATATTCAGTTTTTCTAGGACCAGGGTGTCCAAACTCGGTCCTGGAGGGCCAGTGACCTGAAGAGTTTAGCGCTAACCCTAATCAAACACACCTGAACCAGCTAATCAAGCTCTTCCTACATATACTAAAAACTGCCAGCAAATGTGGCACTAAACTCAGCAGTACTCCAGGACTGAGTGTGGAAACCCCTGTTCTAGGAACTGTGTCATAATAGGAAAAAAAAACAAAACGGTCGCAGCTTCCAGTTCATACGCACTTTAACATACGTTTGACTGAAGTTTCTATGTAAAATGAACACTAGGAAGCAGTATGACACCCACAATCGTTGTTCTTTTTCACAGTAATGAGTAGTTACTGTATTAGGACGTGCCGTAGTTATGATATCTACAGGTATATATTATCAATACACTTAACGATGTCTATGGTTTGTAATTAAATATGTTTGCCTCATTTATATATCTGCCGCACCGTATTCTTGTAGATGTGTACAAGAACGAGAAGTATCTGAAACGTAAAATAAAACGAACCCTAATGCAGAGTTCAGACTGCATGATTTAAGCCCAGTTTTGACTCGTAGACAGGTTTTGAGATATCAGATCTGGAGCTGTCAGCGATTCAAAATCATGCCATGTGAAATGTGTTCTGATTGAAAATAACATCAGTGATCACCTTCAGCCAATGAGAGACCATCCACTAGTATGGGTATCTGCAGGCCAGCGGGAGGTTGGGGGAAAAGTTAAAAGGGCTTCTTTTCGGTCTATTTGGACACCAAAAATGAAGGAAAAACTGATGGAAATTTGCCAGGAGCATGCATATTTGTTTGACATGTCATCTGAGCAATACCACAACCGAAGACAAAAAGGGTAATTTCCTTCAAAACCTAGGTGAGCAAAATAAGCACATTTTCTACCTCAGTAAAGGCTTCTTTCTCACTATTTAGTTATTATGATATACTACGTATAAATATAAACTACATGACCTGGTGTTATGTCGCTTCTCACAGGTGTTTAGTTGTGAGACGTTTGGGGGCCAAGACAAAGTTGTTTGCAAAATCTTCCTATTGTAATGTCATGCAGTGTGAAACCACCTGTCGCAGGATCCATCTTGCAGTGTAAACGATTAATAATAATAGTAATTCATTTTATGACGCCTTTTCGGACACCCACGGTCGCCTTACAAGCATCAACAACCATGACAAACAAATTAAAACAATTCATAAAACGTTGGCAAACTAAATTTTAAATGCATGTAAGAAGTTGCAGGTTCAAACACATCGTGGTATATAATTATATGATTAAAGATACAGTAGTCAAAAAGAAAGCCTTCTTAAAAAGATGCTTTTTGAGACAAGATTTAAAAGTGTGAAGGCTATCACTGCTCCTTAGGTCCAGAAGAAGCGAGTCTCATAGTCCAGTAGCCATGGAGCTAAAAGATCTGGCACCTATTGGGATTAATCGAGTGCGAGGTGGCACCAGGGAGAAAGAGTTAGCTGATCCAAGAGTGCGAGAAGGGGTATAAGCATAAAGAAGTTTGGTAAGATATTGAGGAGCAAGATTATGAAGTGCCTTGAAACTGAGAAGTAGTATTTCAAAATCAATACGAAATTTTACCGGAAGCCAGTGAAGCTGATAGAGAAGTGTTGTGACATGCTCATGAGATCAAGTCCTAGAGCTGACATGAGCTGCCCGGTTCTGAACCAGTTGGAGTCTATGGAGAAATTTTTGAGGAAGCCCAGTGAGAAGCGCAATAGAGTAGTCAAGACGTGAAGTAACTAATGCATGGATGAGAATCGCTGTCTTATTGGTTGTAAACAGCAGCGACATAATGCTACACCAGATATATTCATGCAGTATTAAAACATCTGTGACGCGACTACTTTGAAAATAGTGCAGTCTGAACTTGGCATAAGGGCTCATTCACACCAAATGCATCTTTGCTTCCAAAAATGCAAAACGGGGCTCTGAGAAATGGGTTTTAATAAAAAAAAGCAAGGTCAACGCGGTTCGATATTATGAACGTGATGTAATAACGACAATAGCGCACCCATTAGACATAGGAAAACATTATGTTATGATAAGCACTTGAAGATGCATTGTATAAGTCAGAATATTTGTCACCATAAGCGCCTCCTCCACAATGATATAAAGGTAAATAAAACAGTTATCATGCCAGCTTTTCATTATAAACAGAAGCACGTATCGGTTGCCCAGCCTGTGAGTAGTGCTGGGCGATACACAGAATGTTATCGATAATATTGGAATTAGGGGTGGCACAATACTGGAATTCATTACCAATATACAGTAAAATTTTAAAAACGTCAATTTCCCGTTAACATTTGAGCGCTCTTGAGCACGTTCCTGAACAGCTCTGATTTGCCATTGTGCTCAACAGAAATGACTGTGATTGGCCGTGAAGTTCATCAGTTCACTGTACTCACCGATGTTTACTGAGTGTAACCACAGATACAGGGATACTGGAGTGTTTCATAGTCACGTCAATAAGCTGGGTTGTCTATAAACTGACATACAAGAGATCTGCTGATGAATCATTGCTTTAAAATGCTCCAGTGTCCCTGTTCAGTGAACTGATGACCTTCATGGCCAATCACAGTCATTTCTGTTGAGCATGTGAACACAATGGCAGCGAAATGTACCAAGAGCAACATATTTTACGTGTCACACAAAAAAGCTATCCAAGGCACACATTTCCGATGAGCCTGGGCTGCCATTGGTTGGTGGAGCATAAAAATGGATTCTCATCCGGCATGTTTAAAACAGCTCCATATGACCCGTGTCAGAGAGCTCAGAGGCTGATACAGCACTTTACATTAGTAAATGTACGGCTTGAGTTACTTATGGAGGGCTTTGTTATTATTTGCCGCCAGTCATAAATGCTTTACTTCTGATCGTCTGGCCCTGTGTTGCAATTACGGCTTGTACCTTTAAAAGGCCAAGTGCTGTAATTGCTGTAACTATCAGGCTTTTAGTTCTGGAGCAATAAATGCCTCCAAACATTAAACCGAGTCTTTTGCTCTTATGGCGGTTCACTATTTGCCATTTGAAGATGTTTGCTGAAGTTCACTAGACCCTGCAGCTTTATCACTGATGTCTTTTGTTGCAGAGGGCCTTTAATGCCACTATTATTGTGCATCATTTAACCAAAAAAGCCCACCCTGGAGAAGATGATGAAGGGAATCAATCCACAAGTATAGGTGAGGGGACGTCACATTATATCAAATACAAAAGCACCAATGTCTATTGTAAAAGATTGTCAATCTCTGAACACGTACAGTACGTTAAAGATTAAATTATTTTTGCCAACTGTTAGCATGATCATTAGACTAAAAGTACACACAACATATTTTAATAGCTAAAAATGGTTTATGAATAGTTTAAATGTCGTTCTGGGGTGCATTTTCCAAACAACAGCGTACGATGCATCATTTGGGAAAGAAATCGATGTAGTGACGAGTGTTTTCCAAAACCCGTAGTTTCTCTGTGGCAGATTCATAATTTGAATCACGTTAGTTATAACATAAAATGTCCATAATGATGCGCTAAATAGACGGAGTAACAACTTCTTTAGAGAAGAACCCCATAGTTTCTTTGTGCAAATTTTATTGTTTTACACAAACACGCATTTAAAAAAAATAAAATAGTTTTAGTAAAAACATGCACTTCTTTTCCATATTAGTTAAAATATATGTAAATGACACATATAGAGCCTATGTTTCCTTTACAAATAATATTGAGAACATTACATAAAATTACTTACAAAAGCTGACACGTACTGTATTCTAATCTCATATATAAATCATCTAAATAAATAAATAAATAATAATAAGGCTTATTAAGGAAATGTATTATTTATTAGGAAATGAAGAAAATTATACTTTAATAATAATAATTATTATAAATATTATATATTTTTATTAAGTAGGATTTTGTTTATTTATATATATTTTTTAAAGTCTACTTTAAAAGTCTACTGCAAACCACTGCAGAAATGTTTTAACCAACAAGTCCTTGTCATATACAGTACAAATACTTAATAAACAACCTACTATAAATTAAAAGGATTACCGTATGCTATATTTTTTGTTTTGACAAGCTTTGGAGATGTAACAGAAATTCCACTTTTAAACAATAGGTCATCTATAGCTTTCATCATGTGCAACGGCTGTGTTCAAAATCCCATACATTTTTTCAAAGGGAGCGACTGTGGAAACTTGAAGATCACTAAAACTGGACTGTAAAAATACTTTGAAAGCAAATTACACCTAAGAATGATGACTTTAATGTTTTTTTAAATAAATTTTCATGAGTTTATATGTTAGAACGTTCTAAAGGAATAGGGCATGGGGGGGGGATAACTGGAAATAGAACACAACCAGTAACTATGCTTCTAATTACAGCTCCAGAGATGTAGTTGCAAACGTACAAGTTTGCTATGCAGTTTGCAAATGTTCATTGGAACAATGGATTTGGAAAAAGGCAAATCAACAAACTATGTTTGTAACGATAGAACTTGTAACCTTAGTTGGTTAATGAAGGTTTTCGGAAACGCACCCTTGAGCAACTGTTTTATAAAATTTTGACATTACTTTTAATTGATTTCAATGATTAGTACACGCAGATGTTTCCTAATTCCTGCTAAATTTATCAGATTTTTATATTTTTTAACATGCAGTGTTTGTTTTATTTAATTTTGTTTTTTCCCCCTAGGGAACATTTGACAGTCACTGGCAGCCAACAATGAGTCGGCTACAGGAAAAGTTCATCAAATATGAAAACTGCATCATTTATTCACCCTCATGTTGTTCTAAACCTCGATAATTCTGTTAAGAAAACACAAAAAGAGTGGGTATGGGTGAAGCAATTGTTGCTTAAACACTGAAATGAGCAGTGTGCAGGTTCTGTGAAGATCATCATAAGTTCAATTAACATGACAGTGTTTATATTTAATGAAGTTTTCATAGTAATGTCATACAGAAACTCTTGAAAAAGCTTACATGTCTTATAGGAACCATTTTTTCTTACTGTGAAGAACATTTGAATAACCTAACTTTAATAATTTGAGCAATTTGATAGGCTGCATGGTGGCGCAGTGGGTAGCCTAATCGCCTCGCAGCAAGAAGGTCGGTAGTTAGAGGCTTGGGCCAGTTGGCATTTCTATGAGGAGTTTGCATGTTCTCCCCGTGTTGGTGTGGTTCGTTCCGCTGTGGTGACCCCTAATTATTAAAGGGATTAAGGCAAAAAGAACATGAATAATTTGATAATAAACTAGGAACTCACTTTCATCCATGTCTAATTTAATAGCAGAAGAAACTATAATAATTTTTAAATAATAACAAAACATGTAGCACACAGAACTTGAAGCCCAGCTGGAACTCAAACCAGCTACCTTCTTGCTGTGAAGTGACAGTGCTAACCACTAAGTTACAATGCCCACCCTAAACTAAAATAAACAAATAATAAAAAAGAAAATCTGACACAATATTTAAATATATATATATATATATATATATATATATATATATATATATATATATATATATATATATATATATATATATATATATATATATATATATATATATATATATCGCTGGGTTGCTGGTTCGAACCTCGGCTCGGTTGGCGTTTCTGTGTGGAGTTTGCATGTTCTCCCTGCCTTCGCGTGGGTTTCCTCCGGGTGCTCCGGTTTCCCCCACAGTCCAAAGACATGCAGTACAGGTGAATTGGGTAGGCTAAATTGTCCATAGTGTATGAGTGTGTGTGTGTGGATATTTCCCAGAGATGGGTTGCGGCTGGAAAGGCATCCGCTGCGTAAAAACTTGCTGGATAAGTTGGCGGTTCATTCCGCTGTGGCGACCCCGGATTAATAAAGGGACTATATATATATAAAAAACACAATAAATATAGTAAGAACATAGATTAGATTTTTTTCCTCATTGTTTTTTTTTTATCTAACAACACCTTTTAAAATACTACAACATGATACTAAAATAAGACTCGCATTGTATGTGACCAAAAAACAGCAACATTTTATTGAACCTCACTCAGGTCAGGTCAAATCAAATGGTTGGAACAACATAATATATCAGATATGTGGTCAGTGTGTTTGGCAGGACTGACTGTGGCTCTGAAACACACAAACACACAAACACAAACACACACACGTCAGTGAGTTTCTGCTGCTGCTACACTTCAGTGAGCCGCCACTGCCACAATACCCTCAACTCGTGTTTTCACAAGTGCTCAACTCCCCGTCTAGTTGTGTTTGACGCATAACAGCCTGCTGCTTTCTGACAGAACGCGATATTTATCCACGCTCTGCTGTCTGTCATCTGTAAGCACTGTCACTTCAAGCTGTACCGCAACAAATATGGCACACAGAATATGATATTACAATGGGTAAATGAAGTAATAGTATAATTGTCGTCTTGTGTTTCTCCTCTCGTTGCGCTGTGGAATAAATAAAGCAATCTGTGCTTGGTGTTGTGAATCTGTCACAGGGTTGAAGGCTCCGCCAAAAGGGAAAGATTTAGATTTTGAACAGCCGCCATCGATTGTCGTTTCCTTTATAAGCAATCTTACAAAAGCACACGGCCCATAAATTAAGAAGAACAACAGAGGATCTGCAGCGCTGACTGTAATGATAGGCTGATAAGACAGATTCGCTGCCCTCTCTAATTCATGGAAAGAGCTGTACTGCTGTCGACATAATGAAATCTGGCCACCACCAATAATCCAATCAATTCTGTTAAAAAAACATACACACATAAAAGATACATGAGCTCATGATCAGAATATCTGTAAGGATGGATAAATGACAGCAAATATGGGGGAGAAATTATGGAAAATCTGAACTTGAAAGCTGCTATATTTTATACAGTTGGTTTGAGCCCCTGTTATGGGTTTTTGAAAATCACCTTCCCTGTAGTGTGTAACAAAGCTTTAAATGAAGTGAAATCTCCAGCTAAGGCTTAAATCTGAAAGTGCACCGTGCTTAAAACGATTGATTCATCTATAGAAGAGTCGACTCGAACGAATCGCAATAGTAATGAGCTTTAGTGCGTGACATCGGTACAGAACTCAAAACCCACCTATTTGTTGCGCATGCAGACCCGGGAATATTGAAACCCCAGGCCCCGCCCACAAACACTGTAGAACAGTAGTTCTCAAACTGTGGTACTGGTACTGTGGAATTGTAAAGCAATTGCTGGATAATTAAAATAAAAAAAAATTAACACACTTTTAACCCTTTAACGCATATGCTAACACCATTGTGATCAGTAAATTGATTTTAATAGGCTAAACCTTTTATTTTATTTTCAGTTTTCTAATGTCTGTTATGTATTCTATTATTTTAAGCTAATCTCCCCATATTTGTAACAGTTTTTGGGGTGTATTCCATAATTTTATATCCCAATGTTGACAGATAAAGTTTAATCACTTGCTTTTCTGACACACAAAGCCTACTCTAACACGCAGTAAGCAGATCTAATTTCTAATTTAAATATGTAAATCCAATTGATATATTTAAGATACAAGTTAATGTTTAGATTTCAAAAATATACATATATGTCATATATACATGCCACATATATTTCAAAATTTATCAAAATGAGTTATGAATATATGAATATGATGACATATAGCCTATATTTATGAGGTTCAAGGAACATTTCCAAGTTTTGATGAATAGGCTACTTTATGATAAAACTTTTCATTTAAGTACAGCAGTTTTCTTTATACTTTAAGAACATTTTGAAATACCTTTTAGAAGCACATTTTAATTTAAACATTTTTTTTACCTGTAAGCACAGGGCAGTGTTAATGTTCAAGCTATTTATTATGTTTAAAATGGCTGAAAATTAATAAATATTCATAATATTAGAAATTAATCTGCCTCATTTTTAAACTGTGCAGAGCTTTAGCTTCTTAATTTGGCCAACTACACACCTTTATTTCAAAATTGGTCATTACGGTGATACTTGGAGAGAGTTTCTGAGGTGGTACTTGGTGAAAAAAGTTTGAGAACCACTGCTGTAAAAAGAAAAAGAGGACGACAAACACTGTAGCAAATCCCGGTTGAATCAAGTTGCGTAGAAGCTGTGCTCTGAAGTGTGAGGGAAAGCTAGCGTTATTTTCCCTACCCAAAGATGAGGCTGTGTAGAGTGATTGAACAGTGGTTGACGTTTATTTTTGCAAAAATATCCCAGCATTATAGCCCCAGCTGTGTGCTGTGTTCCTGTCATTTTTCTGAAAAGTGCTTCAGCAATCTACATGCTTACAACGGGGCATTCGTCAGAAGTTTGTTAAAGGAAAGATCAGAAAAGACTTTTGATGAATGGGACTTTGTCAGAGATTGACAGGAACTTTAGTACACAGTTCATGGATCAATTTCTTTTTTTTAATTTCACAATTGTAAGTAAGTGCGATTAAAATGGTTGCCTCCTTGTTTCCTCTAGCTCCCAAATGATGTATTTAATTGTGATGTGTAACTGCTGGTAATGTATATAGTTAACTCTTTTTATTTTCAAATTGCATCTAAAACCACACTGAAAACGTGACACTTGTCGCTTTGTTTATGGATTTAAATGCGTTTGTGAGCTCATGATCCTCTGCAGTTTGTCTTTGCTATGGCCACCATCAGCTGTTCCTACAAACGTGCGGCGGTCAAGGTTCAGAATACTTCAGCTTTTGCCATTGTGTGAAATAATACTGAATGTGTGTTACTGTTTTAAAAATATGCTGGTGTTTAACTGCATTGCTTTAATGCACTTCTACATTGGGCTCACACATATACTCTGCACTCTGACTACTTCAAAAGTGTTGATAAGCCGTGGTGGTCATTTCTTTCTGTCTCGCGCTAAACAAAGTCACAGACTGTGTCATCAGATCAATCAGCGCGGATTACCATCACACTAAGGAGGGGTTTGGGAACAAATGAATTGCTGAACGAATCATATGGGAGTCAATGGAATACTTAGGTACAAATAAATGCATATTACAAGAAAATGAAAGTGTTTTTTGACCTTGCATGCATATCAGACTGCTGTTAGAGACCCCCAAAACCAAAATATGGCCTTTTTAATGCGTAATAGGAGCTACTTAATATTCTGTCAATAATCCATGTTTATGTTAAATATACACTGTAATAAATTCCACAAAAGAGACTTCATTTGCTAATAATTGCATGTATGACAGTATATTATGAACTTTGTTTGAAATATCCAACTTTTAGCACATACATGAATGTCCATTATATTTCAGTGCATTTGTTAATAAATACTGTGATTAAAAAAAAAAAAACATTGTGTATTTTGTGATTCATGGGCATTTTGTTCTTATTTATGTTGAATTGCATTATGGGAGCTTGATCTCTGCTCTATCGACTTCTGATATTGAAAATTCAACTAAAATTGACATTTTAGTACTTTCAAACAACAGCTTGTCATACTAAAAAGTATTGGCAGTGTATTCCCAGGTTTTTGTTTGAAACTTTACAACACCAATACAGACAATATATAGCTTATATCCAACTAGGGTTGCATGGTATTGGAACAATCTGACATTGCAATATTTTCTTTTTCTGCAATAAATGATGCAATATGAATAGTTTGAATAGCACTATTTGATGGATTTCAGGGGAGTCTAACAGTATTCAAGTACAGAAATAATCAAAATGCAAAAAAATGTTTGTTTTTTTCCACTTTGTTTTGTCTTGTTTCTAGTCCAAAGAAAAAAAATTCTTAGATCAAGTAAAAAAACTGATTGAATTTTACTGTCAGAAGAAATAAGTAAAAATTAGGAGATTTCACTTTTTTAGGGATATAATCTCCTTATCTGGCAGTTGACATTAAGTGAAATAATCTTATTTTTGCTTTAAAATGAAGATTTTTGTACAAAAAAACAAGAGAAAAATTCTTAAAATATTTTATATATCATATAAATTCTATATAAATGTATTGAATAAATAAAATTCCAAAACTACTGATCAACTATAATTCACACTGGACATTGCATATCTTTGCGATGTGACTATTGTGGATGCTCACATTGCGATATCGATGCTGAAACGATATATTGTGCAGCCCTACTTCCAACCAATAAAAATGCCAATGAAAGTGACTTTTTCAAACTTCAACCTCACAAGCTGTTGGAG